CTCAAGTCGTGGCACGAGCGCGCGCGCCTCCGGAGCGGCCGCCCGCACTCGCTGGACCGCCAGGGGGCCTTCCGCGTCCGGAGCCTGCCCCCCAGCAGAGAGGGCTTTGGCCGAGCCCCGGGTCCCCGGACACAGGTACGGCGGCTCCGGGGTGGGGGGCGGGGCCTCCAGCTGGGGGAAGGGCTGCAATTCTAGCGGGTCCCGGAGCAGAGAGGCGGTAGGCCCACAGGGTGGTGGCCGCGCGATTCCCAGCGGGGACGGACAGACGACAGAACCGTTCCCCCCCACCCGGGCTTTGGAAGGCCCTCGGGACTCCCCTGGGGCACCTCCTAATTTTGTCTCGGGCTCAAGAGCGCATACCCACGTACTACGCTGGTGGAGGAAATCCTGGAAGAGAGCGGAGCCGTTTTTCCTTAACCGCCCCATAAATGATCCGCAAAGCAGATAAGCCTCTATTCATAATCGGAGGTCCCATCCGAATTTATCCCCAAATTTCCTGACCTGAAGGCTCAGGACAGAGGGAGTCTGAAAACGTGTTTGCAGAAGTCAGGACCTGTGATTGCCTGTGGGTCAACTTCCTCTGACAGCCCTCCACACCTCCGGGCTGAGAAGCAGGGTGGCTGATGGTTAGGCTAGGGGGGTTCAAATCTCAGCCCTGCTATGGGAAGTGATCATTGGCCAGCTGTCTATCTCAGATGGCCATGACCTTTAAATGAGTTATTATGTGTAAGATGATGAGAATTGTGTATAGTAAGCACTAGTAAGTGGTATTACTATTGGCCAGGGACCAGCTTGGTATGACAGAGCACTCTGACATGAGGTAAGGGTGTCCACTCTGGATTCAGTGGCCCAGTTTCTCTATTCCGGAAGTGGGGGTAACACAGGAGTCCTGTCTTCTTTCTCCCTGGTACGGAGGGCTCTGCAGGGGGTGTGCTCCAGAAGTTACCAATAGGCTGCTTCTTTGAGACCCAGGATTCCTAGCAGGCCCAGCTGCACGTCCCTCCCCCACCCACCAGCTCTCTTGGCTGCAGCTGGCATCCTGGCCCTGGTCCCAGGCCGCACCCTCCAGCGGACGTGCTTTTGCTTTTCCCTTCCTGCCGGCTTGGACCTGCCCTCAGCCCAGGCCCGGCCCATCGCAACCTGCCCGACAGGGAGGGTGACAAGAAGGGGGCCCAGGAAGGGCGGGGAGGAGGAGGTCAGGGTGCCTATCACACCCCTGGAGTGGAAAATAGATGAAGGGTGATCACTGGGGGACATTGAACCTCTGGGGGGTGGGGGCAGGGGCGGAGTGGCTGGGCCCGTGTTGCTGCCAGTCAGCGTCTGCGGGGACAGGGATGGTGTACCTGCATTTGCTGTCTGGACATTTCTACCTGGTTTGCTCACAAATCTCTCCTTTCTTCCTGACCCTGGCAGGTGGCCACAGTGTATTTGTCCCGGAGATCACCCGAAAGGGCCCCCGTGCAAGTCTTTGTGCCTGAGAATGGCGAGATCGTCAGCCAGGTGTAACCAAGGCCAGGTGTCACCGCGTGCCCCACGTGCCTTGGCCCTGCTACCAGAAAAGACTGTTCCACAGCAGGGCTGGAGCTGAGCCCTCCCACCCTTGAATGCCTTCTTCAGTCCTTTACCCCCATCGCAGGTCGATGAGCTGGGGCTGAGCCTTTTTTTTAATTTTTTTTTTTTTCCGGAAACCCGGACCTTAGGATTTATGTTTGTGATTTGTCCTCAGGATCCCAATAATATGATGATGCTTTATTCCCCAGAGCTTGGTCTATTGGACTTGAGGCCTTGCCTGTCTGACTGACAGTGGCAGGGGATGCAGGAGTCAGAGGGGGCCATATCGGGATTCCTCACAGACTCTACCCTCTGGCTCAGAGAATGTCCCCACAGAACAGCTCCTGTCTTTACTGCAGCTAGAGGAATACTAGTGTGCCCCCCCTGCCCCCCAATTTCCCAGCTCTCTGGGTACCGTAGGGGTGTCTGGGCAGGGGGAGAATCTTCTTCCCCCTTTATAATGTGCTCTGTGATGCACACGTGAAGTGGTAGGTTAAAGATCATACGTCCTGGTGGAGTCTTGTCTTCCTGGATGAACCCTGCTCTTTTCCTCACCCCATAAGCACCCCCCCCATAGGGGCCACAGTCACTCACCATATGTTCTCTGTGCCCTGTGGGCTCCCACATGTACTCAGACCTCTGAGCCTTGAATTTGAGGCTTTGCCAGATTGTAGCATTAGGAGGCCCAGGCTGGGGGCTGGCCGGTGGTGTTTGGGGGAGGGCAGCTCATACTTTGGTTACCTTTTCTGGGATCGTGAACGCTTGCAACCCCACCCTTCCTTCTATCACTTTTCATTATAGTCCTAAAAAGCAATGTCTTCCGGATATTTTTGGAAAGGCACCATGTTTGTGGCATATTCTCATAGGAGGAGGTGGGGGGTCACTGCCCCTGCTGTTCCTCACCCAGCTGTGCTTCTGCTCTAAGACTGGATTTCCCTGAAAGTGGACAAGTCCTTATCTTTACAAATATGGGGAACGCTCACTCTTAAGGTCATTAATTGTCCCATGTGCTAAGACTTGAGCAGGCCTGGAAACTGCGTGTGCTAAGACTATCGCATAGTCCCTGGGTTCTCATCCTTGGGCCTTTTTGCCCTCAGATCTCCTGCTCCAAGGAGAAAGCACAGAGCGGAGGCGAGGTGGGGTGAGGGAGAGCTGAGTTCTGATTCTGCCCATGCAGAACCCTTTCCCCTCTGAGTGCCCCGGACTTGGACAGAAACTACAAATAACAGCTTGCACCTCCAATAACTTGGATGCCTGTCCGCAAAAAAACACAGTTCTCCCCACTGGACAGAAGGCAGTGTGGCCAACTGCACCAGGTTCCCGAGGGAGGAACTTAGGTGGCCCATCAGAACAATCTGGGGGAGGAGAGGAGAGCCTGAGGGCAAGCACCTGCATCTCTGTCACTGCGCTCAGACCACATCCTGCAGCTCCCCCACTTTTTGGGTGGGCGCTGGCCCCATTATGTTCGAATGTCCTACTTTGGATTCTGTTCTCTTTCATTTTGTCTCGAAGCCCCTTTCACTGGTGTACAGCCATCTCCCCTCCCTGTGTCCTCCGGGGAGCCCAGAGCTCTCTAGGCTGAGCCAGGAGACATCCAAGCACCCCCCCCACACACACACGTGAGCGTCCTTTATGTTAACTTATTGGTTCTGTATGACGCCTGGTACTTGGCTGTGGGGCCGGAACTGTATGGGTTTTAGTGCCAAATACGTCAATAAAGTCTGTTCTTTGTGATTGGTCGAGCTGATGATGAAGGGTTCTTTTGTGCCAAGTTGCCTGAGCAGAGGTTTTGCCCCAGATGCGTGCCTGGAATGGCAGAGTTGCCCGCTCTCCAGCTGGTCTGGCCAGGTCCCTGGGCTGTGGTGGGATGGCTCAGGTGGTAGAGGGAGGCTCTCGGGTCCTTGGCCTCCCTGACGGAATGGAATGAGGAACAGTCCCTGCCAAAGCTCCGTAGGTCGCCAGGGCTTGAGGAGATGGGCTCCGGGAGTCACTTTCTCCACGGCAGGGGACTTTGTGGCAGCTTCGGGAGGCCTAAAGGCTTCCCCTGAGCCCGGCTGGGCCGTGGTTAGTGATATGTGTGACTAAGAATCTCCTGCTCCTTGAAGCAGTTCTAGGAGCTCTTGACTGCCCAGAGTGGAGCTTCCCACAAGAAGCAGCCTCTTCTCCAAAGCTGGACAACTGGGGAGTTTCCTTGGGGTGGTGAGGAGGAGGCATTCTCCGCAAGGTCTCCTCCCCCATATCTGGGCAGGATTGCCCACGGCCCCTCCTCCTACCCGGGGACCACGGGGTGGAAGTGGGTGGGGTGGGGGGAGCTCCAGCTTGGACCACCTCCTCGCCGGCCCTGCAGGGGCCGCTACAGGACCCGGGAGCGCAGCGCCCCCTGGAGCCACAATGCCCAGGAGAAGCGTGAGCCCTGGATCTGAGGTGCCCGGTGTGTCAGGTAAAGTGGTCCCTGCCTGCCTTCCCCCTCCACAGCAGACAAAGGGCTGATGGCCGCAGGTAGGGGCGACCCCAGGCTTGCCCTGGGTGCTGAGCTCTGGGGACGGTGGGAGTCTGTGGGCTTCAGGGGGTTGGCTTTCTTAGGCCTGATGGGGGTGCTCCATTCTAGGTCACGCTGGGTGGGTGGAGGTAAGGTGACTCCAGGGGTCTCTGGAGAACAGAGCACCCTGATCATGGACCTAAGCATCTTCAACTTAGCTGAACTGCTGATAATGGGGTGCTTGATCCTGTATTGTAAACAGCTTGATGCCTTAGGCCCAGGGAAGCTGACTGAGGGCTGGGGGTGCCGAGGGGACCACCTGTTGGAGGAGGAAGCTCCCCAGCAACAGGACTGGCGGAGACCAGCTATAACACATGGGGGGACAAAAGAAAGTGGGGGCAGGGCCGTGTGTGGAGGCTCTTCTAAGAACAGCCAGCAATGGGATGCGCAAGTTTGGGGACCCAAGGTGCCGGGCTGTGGTCTCCTGGCCCACACGCAGGTGTCCCTGGGCAGTGTCTGGGAGGGGCAGACATTTAGGGGACCTTAGCTCCCCTACCACAGGGCAGAATGGGATTAGGAATTGGAGAATGGGGACAGAAGCCTCTGGTACAAGGGAGCTTTAGGATTTTAGCAACAAGACTCCCAGAGGCAATTTGGCCCAGAGGCAGAGGGAGGGACACCGCTGATGCCTGATTCGGTATTTTCGACCGTGGTAATGAGGCCTCTGGGAGACCACCTCAGAATCTGAAATTTGCCCATGCGGGGAGGGCCCTGAATGGAAGACTCGTAGGCAAGTCAGGGTGAAGCAGGGCCCTTCCGAGAGCCCCCTATCTTCCCATGGGGAGGGAAAGGGAAGCTGATGGTGGGGCCAGGCACTGGCATGGCTGAGCCAACTCCTTTTCTCATAAATGGCCTGCCTCCTGCAGCTTCACCTCTCGGTGGAGAAGCTGCCTCCCTAGGAAAGAGCATCTGACACGTGCCCTGCCTACCGTCCTCATCACAAGCTGCAGGCTGCTGCCCCAAGTCTACAGATGAATCCACATCCTAACAAGCAAAAACCAAACAGAGTAACTTTTTCGCAATCGACTGGCCAAGTCTCTTGGAATCCTAACTTAATGGGTGAGCAGTTGGCCCTGGCCCGGGCTGTGTTTCAACTCATTGCAGTCTCAGAGGTGATGGTGATTGCCCAGCCCTGGCTTGAGATGTCACCTCATGGACGCGAGTCGGCCCACTTCTGGCTGCCCCCTTCACGGCTCTAGGCTCTGTGTACTTGTCCATTTGCAGACCTGCCTCCACGAGAAGCCTGGAGCTGGGCAGGGAAGAGGACACTGGGGCTTTGAATTAAAGCTCACCCAGCTCACAGCTGTGCAGGGAAGCCAACTTCCAGGCCCCCTGCCACATTCCATTTCCACACCTATCTATTCTCAACTGAACAGCCAGAGCGATCTTGTTAAACAAAAATCAGACCATGCCACTCTTTTACTCAAAGCCTACCCAGAGCCCCCATCCCATTCAGAGGAAAAGCCCAAGTCCTTACAGCAGTCTTTGCCATGGGCCTTGCAAAGCCCTCCTGACCCATCCCATTACTGCTCTGCTTTTGTCTCCTGCCATTCTCCCTGCTCCTTCCGCTCCAGGCATACACTCCTTGCTGTTCCATGACCATGCTGGCATGATCCTGCCTCCGGGCCTTTGCATTTGCTGTTCCTTTGCATTTGTTGTTCCTTTGGCCTAGAATGCTCTTACCCTAGATATCTGTATGGTTTGGTCCTCAGTTGAAGGAGTGGCCCTTGAAGAGTACTCAGATTTAATTAATGAGATTTTCTCTGACTTCCTGTGTATATATACAAACCTATATGAACAAATGCAAAAAGAATACCTTTAGAATAATAGTAACAGTAGTTTCTGTGAAGGAACCACTTGTATGTAAGCTCTACGTCCGTAAGCTCAGCTTAGAAGAGTGCCTTTTACATAGAAGGTGCTCAATAAATGTACGCCTAAGAATGAATTAATTGATCTCCTGCTATGTGCCAGGGATTATCCTAATTTTTTACATGAATGAATGAATTCAAACCTCATAATAATATATACTGTGATTATCATCCCCGTGTTAAGATGACAGAACTGAAGCTGGGGGACATTTAATCTGCTCAAGATTGCTCCTTCCTTTTTTTTTTTTTTAAAGATTTTATTTGTTTATTTGACAGAGAGAGACACAGCGAGAGAGGGAACACAAGCAGGGGGGGAGGGAGAGGCAGAAGCAGGCTTCCCGCCGAGCAGGGAGCCGGAGGCAGGGCTCGATCCCAGGACCCTGGGATCATTACCTGAGCCGAAGGCAGACGCCTAACCGACTGAGCCACCCAGGCGCCCCAAGATTGCTCCTGACATGCATTCATTCATTGAATTATTACAATAATAGATACTATCATCTTCGCCATTGTACAGATGGGGAAGCAAAAGTTGAGAGAGTTTACTTTGCTGAAGCTCACAGGGCCAATAAAATAGAAGAGCTGAGCTTTGAACTCAGGCAAATGGATGTTTAATCGCTGTACCATGGCTTTAAGCCCCACCCTCAGAGCGCTCTGCTGCTTGGACTACGTGAAGTGGCCTGAACTCAGGGCTGGTTGCTTCTGGCCCTAGCATTGCTACCCTCTCCAACCTCTTGATTCATCCCCTCCTGACACCCTGGGAGTGGACAGGCTCTGTTATTAGCATTACTCCCCAACTTCTATGTCTACACCTGGGTCCTTACTCAGGGAGGCTTCCCCGGGGGGTCCATCAGCCCAGTTGACAAGGAAGCTTCCAAGGCTGATTTGAGGTTTCAAGTTCATTCACATTCAGGATTTTTAAAGCCTGTCTAGGACAGCTCCAATAATGTGTGGCCACCGGGGGTGACTTAGAGTTCTCTCTCTTTACAATTGTCCTTCCGTCCCTGGCCATTCGTGATGCAGAAGAACTCTTACCAGAGTCCCCATATGATTGCCTCTCCACTTAGGCTTCAGAGGGCCACACTAGGTCATAGGCCTGGAGAAGCTGGTTCTTGGAGCTGGAACACCCACCCAGGCTCTGATGGTTTCTGAGCCTTCTTGGCAGAGGGTAGGGGGTAGAATGGCCTTGCTTTCTTATTCCATCTGAGATAATCAGCCAAACTCCTCCCAACTACATCCCTTTGCAGGATTGCGTCAGTCAGAAAGAGATGCCTGTGAGTTCATTTTGGAATTTCTAGAAGAAGGACAAGCGGTAAGGAAATTCTCTGAACTGTTTTGAGAGCTGAGGAGGAAAATAAAAAAAATGAGGACTCATGCTTCCTTGGGTTTTGAATACTAGCCCTGGCTTGGAAGTTACCTGAAATTCAGCTTTTTTTTTTTTTAAGAGAGAGAGAAAGAAGGTGGGGAAGGGCAGAGGAAGAGGAAGAGAGAGAAGCTTAAGCAGGCTCCACGCCCAGCACGGAGCCTCACACAGGGCTCAATCTCACAACCCTGAGATCTAAGCTGAAATCAAGAGTCAGACACTTAACTGACTGGGCCACCTAGGCACCCCGAAATTCAGCTCATTTTTGCCTTCTCACCTGGACAATCTTAGGTCAAGTCAGCAGACAGGATCTGTGCAAAGAATCTTCCTTACGGACCCCTAGCTCCACTGTCCCCAGAGGGCTCTGAGGGGGCCAGGACATTGACGAGTGTCAGTCTAGGAGATGGGGGAACTGATGAGGAAATCAAGCGAGCTATCCATCCTGGCTGCTCTGAGGTCTGGGCCAACAAGGAGGGGCAGGGTCTGGGGTGCAGGCTGCAGGTCCGGCCTGTAGGAAGAGCTAAGGGCTGAGGCCTGGCTCACAGGTGGGCAGTTTCTGTGTTCTTTCCTAGTCCCAGTCAGACAAACTGAAGTTCCTGAGGGCTGTGGACACCTTGAGCAGCGCTGTTCACTCCCAGGCAAATGGCAATATGAATGATTACTTTCCCAAGACCATTCTGTCCAAGAAAATTGAGGTGAGAAAGACCCTAAGCTCTTCTGGGAGTTGATCAACCAGGAATGAGGATGACCAAGTCCCAGAGCCAAGAGCTGGCATCTCTGAGGGAAATTCCTGTTTTCTTCCTGGCCCTTCTAGTTATTAATCCTTGAAGAATCCACTGAGGTCTTGGTCAGCAATGTGCGTCAGCAAGCCATGCTCTGCATTGTGGCCCTGAGGTTCGTTCCTTGCTGTTTCCTCTTCTGAGCCCCCGGGTCTCTGATGCTGAGAACATTTGGGTTGGGAGGAAGGGCAAGGTT